CTCTCTCTCCCTCTCCCCCTCTCTCCCTCTCCCCCTCTCCCTTCCTTTCTCTGAAATCAGTAAAGATTAAATAAATAAATAAGTAAGTAAGTAAATAAAAGCTGCTTCCAGGAATGGGAAATTCGTTGTGTTCAGTCTCCTTTCTAAATACTGATACATTCTGCATTTCCAGTTGATATTCTAGGAATTTTACCCTTTTCAGTGTTTGGCCTAGGCTGCTAGGAAGAGGAGGTTCCCCAAGCATAGCAGCGTGGCCCATGCCATGTAAGAGTGGAAATGTTCAACAGTATAGCGAACACTCTCGGTTCTTTTTGCCCAGGCTTGTCCAGAGTCGGCAGCAGCAACAAAACGTGGAGGATGCAATAAAGGAAATGCAAAAGCCTCTGGCCCGCTATATTGATGACGAAGATCTGGATCGGATGCTGAGAGAACAAGAACGAGAGGGGGACCCCATGGCCAACTTTATCAAGAGGAACAAGGCCAAGGAGAGCAAGAATAAGAAAGGTGGCTTCTGGGGTCGCAGGGGGGAGTGACTCACGCGAAGGGAGAATCATTGGGGTGATGATACCTATCTCTGTGCAAGGAGGCCTTCCCGTGCATTCGGAGTTTAGGTTCAGCTTAATAGAAGTTTCTGTATAAATACCCCACCCCCTCCATCTAGCTCTGAATTGAATTGTATAGATAACTGACTTGTTTTCTCTCTCCTCTCATTAGAGAGACCTCGCTACAGTGGCCCAGCGCCTCCTCCCAACAGATTCAATATCTGGCCTGGATATCGCTGGGATGGAGTGGACAGGTAAGCCTGACTATTGCTTACGTTTTTGCTTTTTCCTTCCATCTGACCCTAACCTTCCCTAACTGTAAATCACTCTACACTCTTCCTCATTCTCTGCTCTAATGACAAGGTTAATAATGTGAAGTTGGCTTCCTCCTGTTTCTGAGGTCCTCAAATCCCATTTCCCATGCTTAGAACACTTCCTCCTTTTTTCCTTTTCAAAGCTTAAAAAGCTCTGGACAAACAACTCAGGTGGTCCAGATAGGACACCCTTTGTTTTTGACATTGGTCACTTTTAATGATATTTTCTAAGGTTTAGGGGATGAGTGATGGGTGGTAGTCTGGAGCCTTCTCTATGTTGTATCTAAAATGTAGCCCTTGAACCATCTCTTCACTGTCTTAGGAGTGAGTTACTTGTAATACCTCACTGACCCCTACCACCTTATCTTTCCACCTGCCTGCACCTGTGCTCTAACTTCCCAATCTGTTACATGGATGAACTCTTTGTGTTCCTATCCAGAGTCAGTCCCTCTACTTACATGTTGAATCCCATCTTCTTTTGCCTACAAAAAAACATTGTTCTAGCATCTAACACAGTGATTCTCGAACTTTTTGATCTGAAGACCCCTTTACACTTAAAAATTATTGAGGACCCCCAAAAAACTTTTGTTTGTGTTGGTTATATCTATTAATATTTCTGACATTTACCATATTAGAAATTAAACTGAGCAGTTTAAAAAGCATTTATTTATTCATTAAAAAAATAATAAAGCCATTACATTAGCATAATTACCATATTTTAAAAGAAAAATAATTATATTTTTCAAACAAATAATATTGAGAAGAATGGAATTAGTTTACATTTTTGAAAAAATTAATGCCTGGCTTAATAATATACAGGATCCTGCATTTAGTCTGTTGCAGTATATTTAGTTGAAGAATAGGAAGAGCATTCAGCCTTATACATAGGCAATTAGAAGAGGAGGATGTATTTTTTGATAATGCACAAAAACTCCAGTTCCTTAAAGGTTATTTGTAATATGGAATTTAAAACTATATCAAAAAAACTTTTAAAAAAATGTTTTTATTGATTTCAGAGAGGAAAAGAGAGGCAGAGAGATAGAAACATCAATGAGAGAGAGTCATTGATCAGCTGCCTCTTGCACGCCCCCTACTGGGGATCGAGCCCGCAACCCAGGCATGTGCCCTGACCGGGAACCAAACCCCCATCACCTGGATCCTAGGTCTACACTCAGCTGCTGAGCCACGCCCGGCCAGGCTCTCTCTCTGTCTTTAACCTTTGGCATTTTAATTATGATGTGTCTTGGTGTGGGCCTCTTTGGGTTCATCTTGTTTGGGACTCTGCGCTTCCTGGACTTGTATGTCTGTTTCCTTCACCAAGTTAGAGAAGTTTTCTGTCATTATTTTTTCAAATACATTTTCAGTTTCTTGCTCTCTCTCTCTCTTCTTCCAGCACCCCCATGATGTGAATGTTGGTAGGCATGAAGTTGTACCAGAGGATCCTTACACTGTCTTCATTTTTTTGGATTCTTTTTTCTTTCTGCTGTTCTGATTGGGTGTTTTTTGCTTCCTTGTAATCCAAAATGTTGGTTTGAATCTCAGCTTCATCTACTCTACTGCTGATTCCCTGTAAATTAGTCTTCATTTCAATTAGTGTGTCCTTCATTTCTGACTGGTCCTTTTTATGCTGTTGAGGTTCTCACTAAGTTCATTGAGCATCCTTATAACCAGTGATTTGAATGCTGCATCTGGTAGATTGCTTGTCTCCATGTAGTTTGTTTTTTTCCCCTAGTGTTTTGTTCTGTTCTTTCATTTGGGACATATTTGTTTGTCTCCTTATTTTGGCTGCCTCCCTGTGTTTGTTTCTATGTATTAGAGCTGCTACATCTCCCAGGCTTGGTAGAGGAGCCTAATGTAGTAGCTTCTCTGTAGGGTCCAGTGGCACAACCTCTCCAATCACCCAAGCTGGGCACTGGAGGTGCACCCCACCTGTGTGGACTATGTACACTCTCCTCTTGTACTTGAGCCTTGATTGGTGTTGTCACGTCAATAGGAGGGATTTACCCCCAGGCCAGTCAGCTGCAAGGACTGGCTGCAACCACCAGTCACTGACCTCCAACCACTGTGGAGGGTCAGCTATACAGGGGCCTTCCCCACAGAGCAGGACTTAATTCAGTGGGGTTCTGAAACCCACTGAGTGAACCCCTTGAGGGTGTCACTTGTGGAGGTTGTTGGGTCGTGATGCTTTGATGTGGTGTGAAGCTGTCCACTGGGTGGGCTGGCTGGGAGGCAGCCTGGGAAGTCAGGCCAAGGTCAGCCACTGCCTGTATTCTGCCCAGGGCCATCTGGCGTGAGCTACAAAGTGATCTACAGATGGCTGCTACTTGTGTTGGACTCGGAGGTGCCCTAGAAAGGCCAAGCTGCTAACCAAGGTCAGCTGCTGCTAGTGCCAGGCCTGGGGCCACTTAGAGGCACAGGGCTCACTGAGGCCAGGTGCTACTTGTTTGAGAGATTTTAGAAAAATCTGAAGTCCATTTATATGGAAAAGCCACTGGAAACAGCTTGGGTGGGCCTGACAGTTGGGTGGGGTGGGGCCTCAGGTAATCACCGGGAGCAAACAGTATGAGCCAGGTTGATGGAGTCTCAGATACGGCACCTGCCTGGTGGCTCTTTGGGGGGAGGGGTGGCTCAGAAAGGGAACAATGGCCTCTGCCAGCACCTCTGTCAGGCATAAAGCTGACCTTCCAACTCTCACCCCAATGCTGGACAATTCAGTTCCTCTCTGTATGTCCCTGGTGCCTTTCGAGCTACTTCCCCAGTGCTGGAGCTCAGAGGAAGCGAATCTGAGTAAGTCCACAGGCCCTTTGAGAGGAACTGCCTGGGACTCCTGCAGTGCTCTGTCTCCCTCGGCTTCAATCCCCTCCGATTTTTACAGGCAGAAGTTAGGGGGACTTCTCTTCCTGTCAGTGGAAGCCTGGGCAGGGGGGGCC